GTTCTAACATATTTTTTGGTGGACTATTTAGGATTTTCTATAGAAAAGACCATGACATCAAATGGAGACAATTTTACTTCTTCATTTCTGATTTGAATGCCTTGTATTTATTCATTTATTTAGCCTACTTATTCTGGCTAGGACATCAGTGCTATATGGAACAGAAGTGGTGAGAATGGATCTCTTTGTCTTGTCCCTGATCTAGGAGAAAAAGCTTTCAGCTTTTCACCCTTGAGTACACGATGTTAGTTGTGAGATTGCCATATATGGTTTTTATTATATTGAGATGCGTTCCTTCTATATCTAATTTGTTGAGAGTTTTTTTCACGAAAAGATATTGAGCCAGGTGTGGGAGCTCACACCTGTAATCCCAAGGTGGATGCATCACTTGAGGTCAGGAGTTTGAGACCAGCCCGGCTGGTACATGTGTGTGCTGTAAAATTCCCTCTGCTAGCATTTTGTTGAGGGTTTTTGCATCTATGTTCATCAGAAATATTGGCCTTAATTTTCTTTTCTTATAGTATCCTTGTATGACCTTGGTATCGGGGTAATGCTGGACTTGTAAAAGTAGTTTAGATGTTTTCTGTCTTCTTAAGTTTTTTTTTGGAGTAGTTTGAGAAGGATTGGTGTTAATTTTTCTTTAACTGTTTAGTATAATTCACCCATGAAGCCATCTGGTTTAGGGCTCTTCTTTGATGGGTGGGTTTTAATTATTGATTCAATTTCCTTACTTATCATTAGTCTGTTAAGATTTTTCTATTTCTTCATGATTTACTCTTGGCAGGCCGTTACATTTCTAGCAGTGGGTCCATTTCTTCTAAGTTATCCAATTTGTTGGAGTACGATTTTTAATAGTAGTCTTTTACAATGTTTTTCATTTCTGTGGTATCCATTGTAATGTCTTTTTCCTCATTTATAATTTTATTTATTGGAGACTTTTAGTTAGCTTATCTAAGGGTTTGTCAATTTTATGTTTTCAAAAATAATAACTTATTTTAATTGATCTTTCCTATTGTTTTCATAGTCTCCATTTCATTAATTTCGGTTCTGATCTTTGTTATTTTTTTCCTTCTGCTAAGTGTGGACTTAGTTTTTTCTTCTTTTCCTTGTTCCTTGGGATGCAACCTTTGTTTGTTTATTTGAGATTTTTCTTTTTTGATGTAGACATTCATTGCTACAGACATTTGTCTTAAAGCTGTTTTTGCTGCATCCCATAAATTTTGGTTATGTTGTGGTTTCATTTTCATTTGTCTCACAATATTTTTAATTTCCCTTTAAATTTTGTATTTGACCAATTGCTTGTTCAGGGGTATGTTTAATTTCCATCTATAGGTGAATTTTCTGGTTTTCCTTTTGTTCTTGATTTTTACTCTCACACCATTACAGTCAGAAAAGATACTTAATTGATGTCAGTCTTCTTAAATTTGTTAAGACTTGTTTCGAGGCCTCACATACAATCTTTCCTGGAGAATGTTGTGTGTACACTAAAAAAAATGTATATTTTGCTATCTTTGGATAGAATGTTTGTATATTTCTGTTATATTTATTTGGCCTATGGTGTTGTTCAAGTTGAGTATTTCCTTATTGATTTTCTGTCTGAATGGTCTGTCTATTGCTGAAAGTTAGTTGTTGAAGCCTATTATTATTATTGTATTGTTTGGTATTTATCCCTTCAGTTCTACTAATATTTGCTTTATACACTCAGGTGGTCCAATGTTGGGTGCATATTTATAATTGTTATAGTATCTTAATAAATTGATGACTTTATCACTGTACAATAAACTTCTTTGTCTCTTATGACAGTTTTTAACTTAAAGTATATTTTGTCTAAGTACAGCCACTCTACTCTTTTCTGGTCACCTTTTGCATGTAGCATCTTTTCCATTTTTTCACTTTTCACCTCTGTGTGTTTTTAAAGGTAAACTGAATCTCTTATAGGCAGTATATTGTTAGCTCTTTTTTTTTTTCCTCATTTGGTATTCTACATCTTTTAATTAGAGATTTCAACTCATTTACCTTTAGAATAATTATTGGTTAGGTAAAGAGGTACTACTGTCATTTTATTAATTGTTTTTAGTTCAGTCATTGTGTTCCTTAGGTCCAGAATTTCAGTTTTTTTAAATGGCTTTCTCTTTTTATTTAACTTCTAATTTTGTTCATGTATTGTTTTCCTGATTTGGTTTAGTTGTTAATTTGTGTTCTCCATAGCTCACTCAACTTCTTTAACATGACTCTTTTGAGATTTTTGTTAGGAAGCTGGTAGATCTCTGTATCTTTAAAGTCAGTTACTTTATTTTTTTTTTTCCTTTGGTGGTGTCATGTTTCCCTGATTACTTGTGATATTTGCCTTGCATTGGTATCTGTGCATTTGAGAAAGCAGGCACTTCTTCTAGTCTTTACATCCTGGCTTTGACAGTGAAAAATACTCACCAGTCAGCCCATCTAGAGATTTTGGGTTGGCAACTTTGTGGGGATCGTGGATAGGCTTGTTGTTGGAGTCTTCAGGCAGTTTGGTCTGGTTTTGGGTCATCAGGTGGATGATCCTGTTTCTTGGATTTACAGAGGACTTGCGGGGTGCCAGGATCCACTACAGCAGGCCTTTTGACTGGGTTTTCAGAAGCAGACCTGGAACCCATGTCTGCAGCGCCTGGCTGGAACCCTGAGTTCACAGGAGAAGATCTGGTACTGGAGTGGAACTTAAGCATGAGTCTGTAAGGGGATGACAGTGCTGGGGGACCTGGTGTCTGTGTCCATGGAGATTAACCTGGTACTGAATCTATGTGGGCTGACCTCACACTAAGGTTAACTTGGGGAACATGGCATCTGGCCCATGGGGGCAGGTCTGGTGTCTGAAACCATGGTGTTGGGCCAGAAGACTGTATCCCTAGGCAAGGTCCTGGAGCCTGGGTCCATTGGGGCCAGCCTGGAGCCTAGTTCCATGGGAGTGGTCCTGGAATCTGAGTCTGCAGTGACTGGCCTGGTGTTAGGGTTTATAGGGGAGGGCCTGGATCCTGAGTATGTAGCTGGAGGGTTACATCTTAAGATCCTCCCACCCCAACTGAGGGGCTCAGTTGGTGTTGGAGAAGACATGGAGCCTAGGGTCATGGTGAGGGGACTTGAAGTCTGGCACTAGAGGAGCTGATTACTGGGGCATTCCTGAAGTCTGGGACCATGGGAGTAGGTCTGGTTCTGGGACCAGTTTGGAATCTGAGGGGAGCCTGAAGCCTCAGTTTGCGGGGTCAGCCTGGAGCCTTGGACTTTGAGTTCTGGCTTGGCACCAGGTTTTACTGGTCCTTAGAAAAACTCCTTCTTTATTTTCAGCACTGAAGAAGTGTAGACTCAGAGGTCACACAGTTGGCATGTGGCAGACAGAACCAGCCATGCCATGCTTCTTTGAGGCCCAGCAACCCTCAGGATCTTAGCAAAATGCCATCTTCAAAACAACTTGTCAAGATCTCACAGGCAGTGAGTGTCATGTTTTATATCGTGTACAGCCTGCAGGGCAGGGCGCAGCAGGTGTGAGTGCCTCTGTCTAGGGACTCTATTCCCCCCAGGGTTCAGAAGCAGGAAAAACGTGGGCCACGCATGTGGTCGTGAATCTCAGCCAGCTGTCTCCTCTGTCACAGCTTTCTCTCCAGTCTCACCTGAGTTCGAAAATTCCGAACGAAGTTGCTGATATTTTATTGATCTGAAGGGCATAGGGGTTCATGGGATTTTGCTGAGTCGTCTACACCAGGTGTCAAAGAGTCCGGTGCCCAGACCTTGGCAAGTGCACGTGACTGATTACCTCGTTGACAGAAAATGTGGAAGTGCGGCAGGCTTGGGACAATCTGGCTCAGACTCTTCCTTTCAGACCGGAGCACCGAGGCCCGGGCAGCGGGGGCCACTTACAGGACGTGGGGAGGCAGAGAGCAGGAGCTGGGCTCCCCCCTGCCGGCCGGCTCTTCGGACGCGCTGCGTCTTCGGGACTTGAGGGCCCGATGGCCGCGCTGCGCAGGCCGCGCGCCACCGGCAGAGGGCACCCGCGGTCCGCGAGTGTTTGCGGACATTGAACTGAGGGCCGCCGCGCTCCGTAAGAACAGATTGACTTTTACGAAGATGGGAGACGCCGCGATGCAGTCCAGCGTGGAGATGGGTCCGTCTGTGACAAGAGGCAGCGCGCTTGGAAGGCGGCTTTGGGAAATGCAGGGGCACCCGCGGTGGCGCGGCTCCTCGGAAGTCCCTGGGCAGGCCTGTTATTCAGGCCGCTGCTCACACTGAGGTGAGACAGCTGGAAAAGAGCTCGCCTTGTGCAGCGTCACACGGAGCGGCCCCGTCCCGTCAGCGTGGGGGTCCCCTGGGCGCCGGCGAGGCTCAGGCGGGACGAGGAATAGAGCTCGTCCCTGTGTCGGCCCGGGCGGCTGCTGGCGGGCGGGGCCTGGAGGGTGTCCGGGCCGCAGCCGCCAGGACCTTGGCGCGCGCCGAAGGCGGGCCTGCAGGCGGGGACCTGGCCCCGCGGGCCGGCGTGTGCGGCGCAGGGCTGGGCGGCGGGCGCCCGGAGCTGGGGGCGTGGGTCCCGCCTTCCCGGCCACGCCGGGGCGAACGCGGAGCCGCGGCCGGCAGGGGGCGCTCTCGGCCCCTCCACCCGCGCGGCCGCCGCGGGAACCCGCCCCCTCCCTCCTCCTCTTTCCTCCTCTTTCCTCCTCCCGCCCCCTCCCGCCTCCTCCCTCCCCCTCCCGCCTCCTCCCTCCCCCTCCCGCCTCCTCCCGCCCCCTCCCGCCTCCTCCCTCCTCTTCTTACCTCTTCCCTCCTCCTCCCTCCTCCTCCCTCCTGTTCCCGTCTCCTCCCGTCCCCTCCCGCCTCCTCCCTCCTCCCTCCTTCTCCCGCCCCCTCCCGCCCCCTCCCTCCTCCCGCCCCTTCCCGCCCCCTCCCTCCTCCTCCCTCCGCCTCCCTCCTCCTCCCTCCGCCTCCCTCCACCCAGTTCTCCCAGACCGACCTCTCCTGCTCCCTCTCAGCGCCGCCAGGGAGCAGGGCAGGACGAGGGGCGCCCCCTGGTCCGCCGTGGAAGCCCGAGGCGCGGGTGCCAGGGCAGGGAGCCAGCCCAGGGCTGCGGGCGCCAGCTGCGGGGCGGCCTGGGGCTCATCCGCTGCCTGGGCGCGGGGAAGGCGAGGGTCCCGTGCTGGGTCTGTGTGCGCAGCGCCATGCGTCGGCCTCAGGACGGGGACCCGGGCGAGAGACACAGATGTGGGCGTTTTCCCGTGGAAGCTGTCCCCGAGGCCGTGGGAGTGGAGGGCACTGGGCCGCGGATGGAGACAGGATGCCCCGAGGGCGGGGAGCGGGAGGTCGGGGAGGGGAGGCAGCAGGCGGGAGGGGAGGAGGGGCCGCGGGACCGGGAGAGCCGCGCGGGGCCGCAGGGCGCGCCCAGGGAGCTTCCTGCCCTTCGCACCTCAGGCTCGGGGAGCCGTTTCGTTTCAGCTTTGGCAGGTGCAGGATCTGCGCTGGAAGCCACCTTACTTCCTAGGCGGTACCTGAGGTGACGGGCAGGATCTTCTGTGATGAAATTACCCACACGAGTCACCACGGGATGACGGTGAGCAGGTGCCATGGACGGTAACACTGAGCGCATGCAGTTAACGGAGCAGGAGGGAAAGGAGGAGGGCAGACACCCATTTTCACAACTCTTCTGTGTTAGGGTTCTCTAGAGGGACAGGACTAATAGGATAGACGTATATATGAGGGGACGTTTATTCAGGAGTATTGACTCACACGATCACAAGGTGAAGTCCCGCAGTAGGCCATCTGCAAGCTGAGGATCAAGGAAGACAGTCCCAGTACCCAAACCTCAAAAGTAGGGCAGCCAGCAGGGCAGCCTTCAATCTGGCAAACCGCTGGTGTAAGCCCGAGTCCAAGAGCCGGAGAACGTGGAATCCCGTGCTCGAGGGCAGGAAGCATCTAGCACGGGAGAAAGATGGAGGAGAGAAGACTCAACCAGTCTCGTCTTCGCACGTTCCCGTGCCTGCTGATACCCAAGCTGTGCTGGGAGCTGATTAGACTGTGCCCACCCAGATTGAGGGTGAGTCTGCCTTTCCCAGTCCACTGACCCACATGCTAATCTCCTTTGGTGACACCCTCACAGACACACCCAGGAACAATACTTTGCGTCCTTCAATCCAGTCAATACTGGTTGACAGTATTAACCATCACACTCTGCAAGGAAGGTGTTTTATGTCCATTTTATAGAAGAGGAAACTGAGGCTCAGAGAAGTTATTTGTCCAAGATCATAGAGCTAGTAAACGATAGAGCCAGCTTCTGGCCAAGCTTGAGCGGTTCTAAAGTCAAAGCCCCTTCTGCTAGGTCCTGCTGATATCTGGGTGCTGCCTGACTACTGGCTGCACAATTTCCCCTTGAGGCAGTTCTTCTGCGATTGTGCCCAGCTGTCCTGCTTGGTAGAATTATCCAGTAGACACTCTTCAGTCCCTGTCTTCCATGCCATCCCTCTGGTGTGTGACCCAGACCGTGCATTCCTCGCAATGTTTCTCTCCCTTGACTCCTGCAAAGCCATCTGCTTGCTTCTCTGCCCATTTCTCCTGAATATGTTTCATTAGCTTCCTTCTCACAGTCCACCCGTGGTTGCTAGTGCTCTCAGGGTTATGTTCTTAGATATCTTCTCTTTTAACTTCACATGAGGAAGCACAAACCCAAATAGCTTCATGGCCATGGAGGGAATAGTAACCTGAATAGCCGATGAATGTCAGATATCAGGAGCTGCTGGAAGATGGCACAGATGCATGGCTTAAGGAGGGAGTGGTGGAGAGAGAGGGTAGGAGCATTCGTGAGAAATTAATCAAGTGATGTCTGGATGGGGACTACAGCCAGAAAGACGGAGAATGTGGGATCCCAGGAAGCTAGTCCTTAGGAAATTGTTTTGGGTAGATGGAGGAATTTGACATGTAGAATCTTAAAACTTACATTTCTAAAGTCATGCCATTAGGTTAGGGACTATTTTGAGTAGACACTTCAGGAAGCCTGAGGCATCAGGACAGCCATCAGGAGCTTGCTTTCCATGGAGCTCTTTTAGAAGTGGCCCAGAGGGTTTGAAGTCCAACAGTCAGGATTCATAGACAGGGGATGAGATTCATGGATCGCAGTGGAACAATAAAAATTGCTTTTCCCCTGGGGCATGAGGGAGAAAGAAGCTCTAGGAATTTGCAGAGAGCACTTACAGAATGACACTTGGTGACACTCATATGCCATCAGCCCAGCTCCAGAAGGACTTAAACTTTTTTCACAGAAAGAACAGCAAATTGGAAAGAGTAAAACTCCCTTTCAGAGGCAGCTGGAAGCCTCTCCTCCCAGCCTACACATCCTGGGGGCTCTTCCTGACCCTGCGCCTGCTCTGCACTGCTATTCCCGAGGCAGACATGGCCCAGGAACCACGTTCAGCCCATCATCTCCTCTGGCTGGCTTTTAAGAGAGGAGTGTCTCAGCTTAATTTTCAGTGAACGGCAGCCCCTGGGACCCTGAGATCACTGAATGTATTTGGCACAGGCTATGAAACCAGCCCCTTTAGACAGACCTCAGACTTCCTAGTGCCATCCAGGCCACCTATGCCCTTAACTTAGACTTGTGATGAGGTATCCTTGTGTCTGCTGGTCCTCCATGCAGCAACCCCCAGGCTGTGGTTCCTAGCTGGCTAGAGCTGATGCCTCAGAGGAGATACACTGACCCACTGAGCCCTACATCTTTCTAGACGTGCTTTTACTCCACCCTGCCTTCTCCAGCTCCCTTTGCTCTTGATTTCTGATTTGTGGTTTTATACTCCTAACTCTGTATTTTTTCATGTCATTGTTTCTTCCTAGAATGCTTTCCCCACTGCCTGACTATTCCTAAGGTTGGTACTATCTTTTCAGACCTCAGGCCACTGTGACGCCACACAGCAGCACAAACTCACGCTTCCCTCAGTTTCCACAGAAAACCACGGAATCAAGGAAAGACAAACATGGGCTGTGGCATCGTAGGGTGAAGCAAAAGACAAGCACACCCCAATCTCCAGGGAAACTTTCACTAATGTCACCTTTAATGATAACCAGTTGCCAAGTGTACCTCAGCCTCCTGAGTAACTGGAACTACAGGCACAAACCACATTTAGAGATGGGGGTCTCATTATGTGTCCCAGGCTGGTCTTGAACTTGTGGCCTCAGGCCATCTTCCTGCATATCTGGGATTACAGGCACGAGCCACTGCACCTGACCCTTCCTTCTTAACTGGTGCAGGAGGGCCACGAGGAAGGCAGAGAACACGGAGACACATACCACCCTCCACATGTAGTTCTGGGAACCCCACTCCCAGCCAGCAAGAATGCAGCCCGCGTGGGCTGGAGACATTCTTCATGCCTTGTTTTAATACATCATGACCAGTCCAGGGAAATCTCTCCACTCAGGGATGAATGAGTATATCTTTCTTTGCACCCACCGATCACCCCCTGCAGTACAACATGCAGTTTCTGGTGTGTTTCAAGCACAATGATTCAGCGCACCTTGACACGGGCCGCCCCAAATCTTTGCCCACACAGGTCCACTCCAAACCACATTAACAAGACACAAGGACTCTATCAGGGATTTTGTAGGTGTTCAGTGTGGAGGGTACATGCTGCAAACCCTGTGGTATAACTTCACTTAAAAACCCTCCAAACATTTCTTTTTCCCTGAATTCTCTCCTGGCATCAGCAGCCTTGTTTTCTCCCTCAGAGTCTCTGTGTCCGGGCCTCCCTGTCTGGGCTGCTGCATCCCCTGACTTCCCTGCACAATTCCTCTTAGTCTCTTCCATTTGCATCTTCATCCTCATTTGCTGCTGGCCTAACATAGATTGTCCTTGGGATCTGACCCTGTGCCGGAGGCCACTGGGACTCTCCCATGCCCTCCTTTCTCTCTATAATAATGCATTTGCAATTTTTAGCTGGGTGAACAACCGCCCAGAGTAGACTCTACTTCCCAGTGAGGTGTGGCCGTGTGAGTCAGTCTGATGGGACATGAGTGGCATGTGGACACCACCTCCGAGAAGGGCTCTGAAGAGCCAACACACCCCTTCCCAGGCCTTGCCCCCTTTCTCCTGGAATACCGTGGTTCGAATCAGGATAGCCCTCTGGAGGCTGTGTACGGAGGCTCTGTGCCTGAGCCTCAAAGAAAAAACAGAGAGAACATGGGCCCCTGGTGGATGATTCAGCCTTTTATTTCAACTTAAAAAAATGTTCCCAAGTTTCCTTTGTTGTATTTTTTTCTACAGGCATTATGTTTTATCATCAATAAAAAAAAATCCCACCATTTGAGGCCTATTTAAAATTTTACTTTATCGACTTCCATTATTTCCTCCTATCACAGAAGATATGAAATGATTTATAATTAGATTTTGAGAATATTTTACAGTTTTGACAATAAGGAGGTTGGAATACTGGCAGCAGAGGGCCCATTTGGGCCCCCGATTTTCTCTCTCCAGGTCGTTAAGTGTTTGACTGGGCCTTGCATCTACTGGCCCTGCATCCTGCAAACGATTTGACCCTAGGACCTCTCTTCACTGCAACATGTGAGGAGGAAAGGAGACAAAGTGAAGGGAGTCAAAGGGTGGTGCTGGTAGAGAGAGAAGAGTCAGTTCCTCCCGTATTCCTGCTTTTTGAGGAGCCAGTAAAATGTTTTTATTTACAGGGAAGGTAGTTACTGGGCCTCCTACTCATTCATGATCAAACCTGGACAAAAACCTACAGCGCTGCCTTCTCTTCTCATCCTTGGACGGGGCTCAGAGCCCAAGTCCAGGCTCTTTGACTGCAGGAGGAGGAGCCGGGGTCGGAAGACAGGCTGTGCTCTACACCGGGCTCCACATTACGAGGCCTGCACCATGGGAAATCATCTGGAGGCAGCTGTAGTCACGGCTCTCAGATGGCCAGGCGTGCCTCCTGCCACTGCAATCTGCACAGTCCTCTCTCAGAGGGATGTGGAGAGATCGCTTTGCCGGAGCCTTCTCACTTAACCTGAAACTCGGGTCATGGTCTGAAGGAGGCGGCTCTGCGTCACCCTTAGTGGTGAAACTAGAGGAAAGAGGCTCTTACTTCTCCAGTTTCTCCTCCTCCACTATTCTGAAATTCAGAGATGCAAAGTCTCAGCAAACTCAAAATGTAATTGAGCTGCCTCCAGGAAAAAATCTGCATAGTTCTGGTTCTCTGGCTCTTCTTGATCTTTCTACCCAAGGAGGTCCCAGTCACAGAACCATATATAGCTCTTGCTAATCTCTCAAGTTAAATGATAAATATTATTTAATTACAAACCATTGTGCTAGTTGTGCAGGGTAAAGAGTTTGTTGTCTGCAGAAGCTCACGACCTAGGGAGAGACAGTCATGTGAGTGAATGTAAAGGCAGGAGCTACCACAGATCCCCTAGCAGAGTTCAGTGAGCATGTAGCTAGCTTGGCCGGGGGGAGGAGGATGCTTGGGTCTGTGGAAGCTTTATAGGGAAGGGGGGTTGTGAGCCAACTCCTACGGGATGGATGGCGATAAAGACATCCCAGGCAGCTTCTGGAAATAGTCACCCAAGCAGGGATTGGGCCATGAGGTGAGTGAAGGGTGATGTGGTGGTGGATGTCATCACACGAAACTAGAAATCAGACAGGGGCTTCAAACGCCACAGTGTCTGCAAAGGAGGATTCTGTATACTTTCAGAAAACAAAAGTGACATGTAGGCATCTGTGCATCAGACGAAAGGGGAAAACGCAAAGACCGTTTAGAAATGGAAGTGCCCAAATCCTGTGGTGAGTGCAAAGGAGGCCACAAGGGGAGGACTCGCAGAAGACCTTCCGCACGTGGCCGGCGGGCGCAGCAGTGGTGATGGTGGGGACCGGCTGAGAGCCTGCCTTGCTGTGCCAACTCCCCTCCACCAAACAGGGCAGCTGGCATTTTCCTCCCACACACTTTGATTGCTTTTGATATAATAACAATTCATAGTACTTCTATAGAGAGAGTAGGAATATTTAATTATATTTAATTCTTTTTTTTTTTTTACTAAGGTTGACCAAAATTTTATTTCTTATTGATAGTGTAGAAAAGGAATGGTTTTATTTTTGTAAATTTTACAAAAATATTCATCACGTGCATTTAAGGCCAAGGACTTGGAAACCACCCATGCCAGTGAGAGCCTTGAAACCTCTGCCTTTACTCCTCTGTATCTTTCCCAGAAACTACTACAAGGTTGTAACCTGGCAAAAACAAACAGCAAATTTTAAAAAGCTGTGTGAGCTACAAAATAGTAGATCTGAATCAAGAGAGCTCTGAAGAGAATTTCCCGGAAGACAGTAATGCAGTAGTCTTAGGAAGCATTGAGTTTTCTTCCATGTGGGAAAAGGAGAACTCTTTCCCCAAACACACACTACAGATCTTTGAAGACACCAGAAGGCTCAACTACAAATGGCCAATCTATACTTAGGACTCATCAAAAGCTCACACGATGAAAATAAACTACACTTTTCAGCACAGAACTGCTGAGATGGAAAGGAAACCTGACCCCAGCTGGCTGCCTGCTATCTCTGACAGCTAGGAATCCTAAATTATGAATCAGAGCAGAAGGGGTATTAGTGCAATAATCTGGTAAATATTTTATTTCTCATTTTGACTTTGATTAATAAATAAACATCAGTGATTAGCTTTTATGAAGAAATAAATTAGATTTTGGAAAACTTGTGTCTGCCCTCATGAGCTTGACAGTTTTCCAAATACCTATTGACTTCTCTGATGAGATAGGCAGTGGCGTGCGCAGATGTGACTTGGGGTATCCAATAATGAAATGTGACAACATTTGAAAAAATTCATAACTCAAGGATGCAGTCTTTTCCAAATGACCGGTGCATTTTGTTACAAAATTTTGCAACATTTTATAATATTATGTAGCATGTTGTTACAAAAATGCTGCTTCAGTAAAAGGTCTGTTCACACTGGAATGGCTATGAATGTGACAGAATCAGAAGCCTTAATTGACATGATTTCATGTACCACATTGCAAGGAACCTTTGAGAAACTACTATTTTTGAGTTTTGGTGTAATATTAAAAAGAATATCCATAATCACCCAAAAAAGATAAATACCCTTCCCTTTTCTGAATTTTCTGCAAATATTTCAATCTTGATAGCATACAACAACAGATTAGAGATATTTGTAAAAACATAAAAATGCCACTTCCCTTACTAAATTTTCTTTTAAAAATCATTATTTTTAAAATAATTTTTTCATTTATGTTAACATATAATTAGTTATTATTTTATATGAATTAATACACACTTTAAAAGTTTCTTACCTTTAATTTCTACTTCAGCAAGTACCGATAGAATTAAATCACATAACCAAAGCTCTTTGGAGACTTTAGTAATTTTTTTGAATACATTTTATTTGGTACAATCTCTGTCATTTAAAAGTTAGGCGTTTATTCCCACCATCCTCACCTCTATTACTGTTTTACTTACAAATAGCCCTAGAAACCTATGGAAATTCCTCATAGGTGTCCTTCTGTAGACAGACATTGCACTGACATAGCACTGAAACCCCCATCTGGGGTCATGAGGGGAGAAGGCTCATTGTCCCTCCCTGGCCTCAGGGAATTGCAGGGCTGTCATTCTGCAGACACACAGGGGCGTGTGGAGCTATTCTTGATGTGGAGCTTCAACAACAAAGCCCAGCAGAGCACAAAATGCAAAATAATCATGTAAAACATTAAGTGGCACATGATCAAATCACAGCTTGTAAATAATGCTGTTATTGTAATTCTCAGGTTCTCGGAGAACTGTAAGTTCAACAGAGGAAAATGGCTCATTTGAAAAAAATGTCCATGTGTTGCCTGCTCTGGTGAGATGAAATGTCTTGAAGCCAAGCAACAGGGTTGCTTCAGTTCATATTTGTGCTCACAGGCGGGAATGTAACTCCAGGAGCGACGGAGTTTTCTTATGGTTGGTTTCTGTGACATTTGCCTGCCCTTCCAAGCGATCACAACTAGAATTGTCATTACTGCCCTTTATGGGGTCTCCAACGTGAGTTGTCCAGTTGTGATGATGGGCCCTGTCAACTGCGTGTAGTTCAGTTGGGCACATGGCTATCTGCTCTAAAACTGAGGTGTGTGTGTGTGTGTGTGTGTGTGTGTGTGTGTGTGTGGTTTTGAAAAGGTTCATTAAAATCCAGGCTGAACTTGATGGCTCACACTTGTCATCGCAGCACTCTGGGAAGCCAAAGCGGGCAGATCACCCGATACTGGGAGTTTGAGATCATCCTGGCCAACATGGTGAAGCTCTGTGTCTACTAAAAATACAAAAATTAGCTGGGCATGGTGGTGCACGCCTGAAATCTCAGCTTCTTGGGAAGCTGAGACAGGAGAATCACTTGAACCTGAGAGGCAGAGATTGCAGTGAGCCAAAATTATGCTGCTGTACTCCAGCTAGACAACACAGAGATACTTTGTCTCAAAATTTAAAAAAAAATAAAGGAAAAGAAAAAAGAAAGAAAAGGTTCATTAGAATCCAGACTTGCGAACCATGTCAACTTATGGCAAAACATACACCATCCATCTCAAAATTCTGCATTTTCATTCTGGAACTTTGCAAAGCACTACAGTAGTTGATGCTGTAGGGTTAGAACTTTGTGTGATACTGCTCAGCTCAGTTCCTCATCCCACAGATGGTGCGGCCCATCTCTCTTCTGACTCACAGCGGGGCTCTATACTCCTTCCTCTTGGCATTTGGCTGATAGGTAATAGATATTCTTCTTCTTAGGAAAATTCCAGAAATGACAGCAAAATAACAAAAGCCGATCACAGGCTGAGCCCTCTCTGATGAACTGCAGTCAGTGATGATGGTTTGCTGAATCGCCAAGGCAGTGAGGTATGGAATCTGGACACCAGGACACACGTTCCACGCTCAGCTTGACTGCAGTCTGGAATACCGCCTGAGTTGGAAGCAGCACTAGGTTACAGTTGAATCACAAATAGCCCACATCGCCTGCACAGACATGGCCACGCAGTGCATGAGAGGTCAAAGGCCTGCGTGGATGGCTGAGAAGACTCCCAGAGCCCACTCTCTAGGAGTCCCCAGCTGATTTTCACATAACCCACTGCACAGGCAGCCACAGTCCCACCAAACACTGCAGGCGCTTTGGTGCCTCGTTATGGGTATAAGAATATTGGGGTGGTGCCTTGTAGCCTCACAGGACTTGAACATTGTTCAAAGCTAGGTTAAAACCTGCCGTGGAAAAAGCCCACCGTAGGGATTAGTAACAAAGGCCTCTGGGGAGCAGCACTCCAAATCTTGGAACCATGGCACACAAACTTTCAGAGTCACCGTTTGTGGCTCTATGCTCGTCTGGCTGTCATCTGGGTTTCCCCAAAGTGGTGGGCTTTTCCCAAGTGGGTTTCTCCCCTTCACAGCCTTGTGCTTCACTCTTGTGAGGTTCCTTTAACCTTGCACGCAGGCTTGGGGACTTCTTTATTTCTTTGCTCAGTTTCACATGGAAAAACATGCTGTGTTGGGTATCGATAGAAAAAGTGAGAAAATGAAGGCTGTGGAGGCAGACTCTGGCCATGACGATGAGGTGAAAGTATGACCCATTCTCTAGGGACGCCAAGTGTCGGTCTGCACGGGGGCCGCTGTGTCAGCTGCCAGCGTGACACGGCCATGGTGGCCTCTCCCTTCCTGGCAGTGCTCAGGGCTGACCGTGCTACATGGGTGGATACAGTAGGCCACCTGGGAGGTGGTGAGTATCCCGGAGGAGAAGTCAATAGCATGTGTAGTCTTCACCCCTTGTCCCAACAAGAGCAGCAGCTGGGTAACAGTAATGACGAAGGAGAGCTCTGGTGAGAGGGTGACAGGCTTGTGGTGACTCGAGAGGACAGACACGGGGAGCAGAGTGTGTCCAAATGGGAAGGACCTTATCTGTGATCTCTGTGCCGCTCAGTTTTTCACTTGGTCCGGATACATATGGGATAAGGAATGATTCTGGGGGTCTCGTCGTGGAGAACAATCCGAGTAAGCAGAGGAGCACAGCGGATAATTGAGGAATGGCTTGGTGAAGCTCTGAAACCATCCACAGCCATTTCTTCTGTGCCCTGAGCTGCTTTCTTTCTGGGATCAGGCCTGCTTTTCTGCCTTCAGATCGCACTTCTGCTCCTTCCAGCTACTGGCTGCTACAAATCCCAGGCACAGTGCCCTTTCCTCTTGCTGGAACCTCTCATCCTCCTTTACGTAATAATTTTAAAAAATGAACAAGGATCTTGAGATCAAAAAGTTTAAGAATTGCTGCATTTGGACAAGTGTGCTTGGAGGAAGCGTTTGTGTTCTTCTTGGCAGATTCCTCAGAAACATTAATTTGTTAATAAATTGGTACTCTCCAAGGGGTGGGAATTGTTAAATCAAAGTCAGTTTGGCCTGAGGCTGCCTCTGTATCTTGAGTCCCTAGTGAACTACAGGTTTTCCAAAATTTTAGTGTTCATTAAAAAGCTTGAATCTTCTCATTGGCAACTAGAGTTATTTTCCTTAAAGCAACAGGCCCAGTTTGTTTATTTCTGAGCAGATGCCTGCCTAATGCCCAAGTGTAATTAACATCATTCGCTCTTTAAGTGGAATTGGTGTTCCATGAAAAAACTGGCTGGCTTCGCTTGTAAATCAAATTTATCACAAGCAGTTTTCCTTGGGATGACTGTCACAACTCAGCATTCAGCAGAAGTACTTTATGCGTACTTTTCTCCAAAGACGACATGCAATTGACCGAGGAGGACATGAAAAGGTGCTCAGCATCACTGGCCACCAGGGAAATGCAAATCAAAACCACCAGGAGCTATCTATCACCTAACACCTGTTAGGATGGCTGGTATTGAACAAACAGAAACCACAAAGGTAAATGGTGCAAGGATGCAGCACAAGAGAACTTCTTTACTTTGTTGGTGGAAATACATTTGGTACAGCCATTGTGGAGACATTATGGAGGTTCCCCAAATGTTAAAAATAGAACTGCCACGTGATCCAGCAGTCCCACTACTACACACCCAAAGGAAATGGAATCAGTGTATCCAGAGACGCCTGCACTCCCATGGTCACTGCAGCACTGCTTACAACAGCAAAGATACGGCATCAACATGTGCCCACCGAAGAATTAGTGGACGAGGAAAGCGTGCTGCGCATACACGAGGGAATGTGACTCATCCTTCCAGAAGGAAAAAATCCTGTCTTTTGTGACAACACAGATAAGCCTGGAGCACGTTATATTAAGTGAAATAAGTCGGGCACAGCAAGATAAATTCCATATGATCTCACAAGCAGAGTCTGAAGTGGTCAAACTCATAGAAGCAGAGAGTAGAATGGTGGTTACTGGGGCCGGGTGAGTGTGAGATGGTCAAGGGCACACAGTTTCTGCTGTGCTGGCTGAGGACATTCTGGAGACCAAATTCACAGCAAGGTGCATGTGGCAGCTCAGCTCTGTACTGAGTGCTTAAAATTCACTATGAGGGTAGATCTTCCATGAAGTGTTCTTGTCACAAAGAAATCTCCAAGGGGTGGGAGGAGCCTGGGGAGGGGACGGATGTGTTTGTGGCCTTGCTGCAGGTGATGGCTTCTAGGCTGCACAGGTGTCCCCAGACTCGTCGGGATGTACACGTGAAATATGCACAGCTTTCTACAAGTCCTCCATAAAATGGTTGAAAATACGACAATAAAATTAATAATTGTTGGCTCTTTGTCAAGAACATTCTTCAGTGGACTGACCGTCTTTATCATTGTTGTTGCTGTCTGATTGTTGACAGAGTGTGTGCGTGGTGGAGAGTGCACCAGAACAGCAGGCACTGAGGCCCTGACTTCTGCGGAGGCGCCGGCGGCATGCCCACTAGGGTGAGGGTCAACATGCGACCCTTCCATCCTTTATTTCATAATTATTAGTTGCCATTCAACTTGAAGGAAGTGCTTTCGCTTTCATTTATTTGTCACTGTGGACTCATGAATCCTGTCCAGCTACTGGGTTATATAGTCTTTTGCCATCATCATTTATTTGGCTCTTCAGATAGTTACGGATTTGGCCAGAAATTCCCCTGGAGCGCGCCCTTGTCTCTGCTTTCTGCCCATGTTTCTGCCTCTGGCTGCCGACAGGCCTCCTGTGCCTGTCACCAGCTGGCTCCTACCCGGGTGTCAGGCTCTGAAGCTGTAAGGCTACACGGTGGCTGGGCCTGCCGCAAGCCCTCCCTGCACCCAGCCTGGAAAAGCCGAGCCACGAGGGAAGAGGCCCTGCTTCCTCACTCGCTACCGTCAGTTTCATTTGGTCTCCGACTGGAATGGGATGAGTTTGTAACACAGTGCAATATTTTCCTTTCAGGAGATTCAACGATATTTACATTATTATATGAGGTTTGGCCCATGTACTACTGAAAAGTTGTTTCAAAAGTTGTTTCCCACAGACTCAACAAAAGATGGAGATACATACCTAGAAGACACCCCTGGGCAGGACGCTCAGGGTCACTCCTAGTCTCCTTGGCGCCGACATTGGCTGGGGCATTGACAATATATTGTCTGCTATAGCTGACAAGCTGGAAGGGCAGTCTCTGTCTTCAGGGAGTCCCAGTTGTAAGCTGGGCCAGATACAGTAGATACACATGGAGAGGAAAATACTGGATTCATGCATTTTTTTCTGATTTTGCATGTTTTGTTTGTTCGTTTTTTTGTTATTTACTCCTGAATGGGCAAGCATAAAGAAGTAATGAGAACAGGGAAGGGAGAGCTCTGCTGACCGGCACTCACTGGGACCAGGCCTCATGCTGGCCTCGCCACGATCTCCCTTGCTCACTGTTCACAGTGAACCTGCCAGGTGTGTGCCTGTGACCCCTC